TCTCAGTTGTCGAATAAAACTTCGTTTCTCCACCTGACAACCCTTTCATACTCATATCTGTGTGATCATACACATCTCCCAGGCGACAAAGGGAGAATGCGCGAGTATGAGTATGATTCAGTTTTCAAGGAAATGGCTTTCTCAGACAGCTTTTCAGAACAAATTAAATTCCAGAAGTGAGGTTCCACTGTAATTTAAAAAGCTTCAACAACAAAGGACCAATTCCCACACCTGAGACTTGGAGCTGGTTTACCTCCACCAAAAGAAAACACTAGGTGAATGAATGATATTGGTGCATTCTGATATAATAAGCTGTGATTAAATCTCAGAGAGAATAGCATTAACAGTGCTACAGACAAGTGGGTAGCAGCTACATAGAAAATGGAATATTTAAAATTACCTCAATGGTGTTTGTATATCTGAGTGTCAATAATACACACACACACACACACACACACACACACAAAACAAAACCCAATTTATATATTAGCCTGTCTAGAAATTAGGGACTGGGATTCTTTCTAAATGATGGGATTTGCAAGATTTAGTAATTACTGAGGGTAGCATGTGGGTCCCTGAGTTACATGGAAAAACCGAGGTTTAAGGAAACAAAGCAAAGAGAGTCTAGAGTTCACTGAGTGGTACTTCTAAGATTTCTTCCTTATTTTTCATAATTTTTTATTTGTTCTTTTTCTCTACTTCCTCTTTCCCTCTTTCTTTTGGTTGATATTAGGTATTATTTTCTTTGTTATAGAACAGATGGGGTGGGGGAGCAAATGATATACTATCACCTAAAGGACCCCCCTTTTTCCTCTGGGGGTCCCCCCCCAGTAGGTTCACCTTGCCTGCTGCCAGGGAGAGATGTCTCTCAATGCCAGAGATTGGTGAAAAGGAAAGGATTATTTATTTAAAAGTTGTACAGACTAAAGAGTAATGACTTAATGTCTTCATTAAAATACTAAAGTCCTTTAGAATACCCACAGAGGCACACAGTCCTTCCTTCTCCCTCTGTCCAGTTCAGGGTACTGTATCTCAGGAAGAGAAGTAGAAGTCCATGGTTCAGCATCCCTGCATAACAGCTCTGTCGCTGCCACACTCTCCAGTTAATCCAAAACCATGTGGCCCTTCTCATGGCCCACCAACAAGAATCTTTTCACCCCTTTTCTTCCAGGCAAAGTCTCCTGCTTCCTAAGCCACGTGGCCAAAGGGAGCACCCCAAAGCCACCTGGTCCTGACTCCACCAAAGCCACATGGTCCCCACTTGGCCCAGCTGCCACACCTGGGTTTAAATCCCTGCACCAGTCTTTCCCTGTGGCCCCATTTCTGACTCCTAGCACAATCAGTTACACCTGCCAGCATTCCTGTATTCTTCCAGCTTTATTGGGCTGCCAGAGTAAGTCTGAGCAGGTGTGGCCCCATGGCATGGGGCCAATCATCTCCAAACTCTCATGCAGGCCCTGTAACCAGGGGGAGTTGCCTCCCAGTTAAATCTTGGGTGGAAGTCACTTCCATCCTCCTGGCTCAAAGCAAGGCCACAGCTATTTAACATATCTATGCAACCAGTTAAAGGTTATAGATACCTTAAATGACCATGCCAGAGGTTAGCTGCAAAACTGTTGCTATGCAAAACAGCTCTCAATGGTCCTGCTCCATGTGTCCCTTCCCCCAACTCAGACTTGTGGGGTTGAGGACATTCTATATATTTTTTTTCCTAATATTTCCTGGACACCCTGAGTTCTGAACCCCATTACAAATCCCTATTTGGCCCCCCCCCCTTGATTGCCCCCTGTTACACTTGGAGATTATTATCACATAAATACCTCCTTCTGGGTTCTTATTCTATGTGATTTTAGGTGACCTTAAGGAAGTCTCTTTAAATGTGTTTTGTCTGACAGTGAGGTTGTAAGGTTCAGATGAGCTAATGTGTCAGAAAAGTGCTTTGGAAATGTTAAAAAGAAAACCACAGGCCCAAAATGGCATCACTAGTGCTAAAAGCCGACGATGCCAAACCTAGATTAAAACCTGATGTATTTGCAGTTTCAGTCTCTCCCAGAAACATAATCAGTCAGGAATTTTCTGGTCAAGCCCCAGTAATCTCTGTCCACTGCCTGCCCTTCCCCAACTCAAAGAAGGGGCAATCTGCTTGAAAACCCTTCCAGGGCGCTCCCCTCAAAGAAAAAGTGTCCTGCTCAAAAATAATCCTTTCTTTTCTTTTGTTAATAGATCCTTTGCCCCACCCTTTGCTATTAAAACTCTTCCATTTTGTACAGTTTCTCAGGGCACCCTTCTAGTTGGAAGATGGGATGCTGCCCAATTCATCACTTGCTTAATAAAGCATACTAGATCTTGGGTGACTTGGACTACTGCAAATTAAATACCACAAAGTTGGTGGCTTAAAACAAAAGAAATTTATTTTCTCATAATTCTGGCAACCAGAAATCCAAAATCAACATTTTGGCATAAACGATTCCCTCTGATGGCTCTCGGAGAGTGTCCATTCCCTGCCTCTTCTAGTTTCTGGAGCCTACTGGAATCCTCGGTGTTCCTTGGCTCGTAGCTGCCTAACACCAGCCTTTGTCCCTGTCGTTGCCTGGCCTCCCTCTGTGTCTCTGTGTCAAACCTCCTTTTTCTTTCTTTCATAAGAACACCAGTCATTGGATTTATGGCCTAACCTAAATTCAGGATGATCTCGTCCCAAGCAAAGAAATTATATGTGTAAGGTCCCATATTCACAGGTATTGAGGCTTAGGACTTGGACATATCTTTTCAGAGGATAGTATTCGATCCACTATACTGTCTAAATAGCAGACTTCTCTGGATTCCCATTTTACTTCTGCAGGTGAAATCCTAGACCACTTCGGAGCTTTGTGGTCCGAGTATTTGTGATATTTTTCAAGGTCATGGAAAAGAATTGTAAGGCTATTAGCATGTTGCCAGGCAGATAGCCCAGCCTCCTGTTGACAGGAGAGACCTGGTGCTTCTTGCTGACAGGTGTAAAGAATTACCAGCAAATCTATTAACATGTAATCAGTTTATTAGTGATCCATTCCCATGGAAGAAAATGGGACTAGGTTGAGTGGGGGGTGAAAGGCAAAGTTTCAGGGCAAAGTAGGGTGGCAAAAGGAAGAGCAGCTGAAGACCAGGTTGGCAAGCGCTTGGGTGGCCCGAGGCCCGGTGGCCCGAAAGCCAAGAGCTCCAGGACTGCCTCAAGCCCCCGAGAGAGAGTCCTTTGTTCAGAGGACTTATATAATTGGTGGGATAGGAGATAAAAAAAATGTACATATTGATTAATGGATAAATGTGGTGCCAGCTTTCCTGGGGGAATGTGACTAACCAAACTTAGGTATGTGTGAGGGTCTGTTAGCCCAAATCCTCATCTTGCTCCAGACTCCATTTGTTCATCTTATTATAAAACAAATATGTGATAGGAGGCAGTTAATTAAAACTGGGGCACTTCCCAGAGTTATTTATGGGCTCTTTCTGTACGCATTAGGGACTCCCTCATAAAACATATAGTGACCAGAGGTAGACAATTAACCAAAGTTGTCTTACGGGCTTCTTCTATGGGTACCATTGAACCTCTCCCGAATTCCAGGCCCTGGGATAAAAGCACAGTTTCAAGGCTCTCTTTCCCAGATAGTGGAAACACTGCATAGAATTTCAAGGACTTTATTCTCTTTCTTGCTAACATAGTGTTTCTTGTGGTGTTGAAACACCTGGCAACATTATGAGGCCAGGCTCAGGACTACTGAGTTAGCGTGTGAGACATGTCTCCTTCCTCCTCTCTGCCTCAGTTTACTGTTTATTCTACCTAAGTGGTAGAAGGTGTTGCCTGGCAACTAGGATGCTAGACACTGGCCAGTAGCAGCAGTGCAGTCTCAGAGTTCTTCCTATGCTGTCTCCTGCCTCACTTCCAGTTCTGTTTGCTTCCACCTTACCCTTCCCTAATCCATTATTCCACAAACTGCTTGGTTGTGTTTTGAAAATGTAAATCTGAACATACTTCTCTTCTTCTTTAGGCTTTACCATGGTGCTTCAAAGGAAATCCTAAGTCCTTATGCCACTCTTTAAAGGCTATGGATGATGTCTTCACCCTCTTTTCTCAGCTCTCTGAGCCTTCTTCACACACACTGTTCTCTCTATTTAGAATAGAACATTCTTTGACCCCTCTCTGGTTAATTTCTACTTTAGATCTTAGCACAGATGCTTTTTTCCTCTGCGGGCCCTTCTGAGACCACCCAGTTTCTGAGTGTCTACATAGCATCCCTGTGCTTACCAATGTGCATCTCTGGATTGTATGTACAAGGAGAGGAGTACCACATCTGTCATGTTCACAGTTGTAGCCTCAGCTTCCAGCATTGTACGCAGTTCCAGTTTATTGAATGAAAAGATAAATGTAAAAACCAGGGATCTGGGTGAAGGCCCAGTTATTTCTAATTTCTCTTCTATTTAAGAAAGTGTTGGCTAGAGCTGGTTTAGCCCTCAGCTTCTACTGTCCACAGTCGCTGCCACACATCTTTGGAAATGACCTGCATACCTGAGGACCCACTAGAAATAAATCTGTCTCTCCTCATCACACCTGTAGCTTTGATGGATCTGAAACTGGTCTGTCTAGTTTAAGAACACACTTGTGAAAACTGCCCTCCTTTAGTGGGGCAGTCAAAGCAATGTTTTCCCTGAAAAATCAAAAGCTACCTAGAAAGTGACAACATTTGGGTTGATTGTAATAATGACTTCAAAATAAAGTATTTTATGTATTATAATAGTTGTGAAAATCTTCCTAAACTTTGGCTAATTTTTCCCAGTGAAATAATATTCATACATTAAATTATAGGGGGTCAAAATGCTCCTGTTTTTCTGTATCAAATGACTTTGAGAAAACTTGCTTTTGTGCTTCCTTTTAGACAGATTTATTTTTTAATTTAAGTATTCTGCTTTTCTGTTTTGTTTTATAGATGTTTTTCATATGTTTATATTGATTAGCCATTCTTCTTTTATAGTTATGCCCCTTGGTGTCCATCCTGCCAGCAGACTGATGCAGAGTGGGAGACATTTGCGAAGATTGGTGAACTACTTCATATCAGTGTGGGGAAGGTAGATGTCATTCAAGAACCAGGTACTGTAAATGTCAAGCATTAAAGGCAAAAATTTGATACTTTTTATTTCAAAATTTTTCAGGAATATGTGAAAGTTGAATATATTAACACTCATGAAATGACCACCTAGAATCAACAGATAACATTTTGGTATATCTGAGTCTATGTGTGTGTGTACTTACACACATATATTTATATTTTTATTATTTTTTCTTTTGCTGATTTATTTAAAAATAAGTTGCAGGCATCATGATACTTTACCTTCAACACTGGGGCATATTAAAATCTCCCCAATTACTTCCCACATGTCTTTTTATAGTTTTAGAACCAAGATCTAATCGAGGTTTACCATTTACATTTGGTTGGTATGTGTTTTAATTGTACTTGGTCTAGAATAGTCCCTCGCTTTTTTCATGACATTGATATTCTGAAGAGAATAAGCCACATATTTGCCTAGGTGTTTCCTTATATTTTGTATTTCCTGCATTTTCTGTGAACTTGAAGTTCAGCCTAGAGGCATGATTTGGTTAGATTTATACAGCGAGAGTACTTCATAGGTGATGCTATGACTTGATATTTGATGCTATCAGAAGACACATGCTGTTACCATTAGTGATGGCGAGTTTAAGCACTTGGTGAAGGTGGTAACATTAAACATCTCAGTTGCAAAGAAAAGATCTCACTTTGTGATTAGCAATAATCTGTGGGGTGATTTTTGGGTTTTATGATACATAATGATCTTATCTGAATCAAGTGTTTTGTTGTGGGTTCCAGAATGTAAACTCTTAAATCTGTTTTTTCATCGACATCTATTAGCTGTTGATGTAATTTTTTTAAAGAAAGAGGAGGAAGATAGAGGAATCTTTGTATTTGTGTTTTAAAAATAATTGTGTACTATATGTAAATTTAGGAGAAAAGTTGGGATTTTATGATTCCAATCTCAAATTTTACTATTTTCAAACTTTATTAGGCATTTTTTCTTATCTACATTTTATTTCAACCTATTGTATTCCTTTACAAGGAAAAAGAAAGTAGGTATGGAAGTGTAGCTATTAACTTTCTGTAATAATTGTGAGTTCAAAAAAGACTCAGTACTGAATTCCCAGTTACTTGGACAACAAAATTGATAGTGTCTGTTAAGATCAATGTCTTGACAACATGGACAGAGGTTTCTGTTAAACACTATCTGTCCTCAGGCTTCCACCTTTTTAAACATTGGAATCAAAACCATTTCTGCCCATCTGCTATTTAGAGATGGAAAATATAGTTATTAGACCAGGTTTTGGCTATTATAAAGAGTTCTTCTGTTTAGAGGTCAAATCATTGCAATTATATTTTTGCTGTATACTTTTTTTCATCTTTTAGTAGTTTGAGTTCAGTGAATCAGGTGTAAGTCTTGTTCGTTAGGGGGCACCAGACACATTTCTTGAGGAGTTTCTTGAAAATGCAGACATTTGGTATATCTCTTGTCAATTCACAGAAGGATTTGAATGAAAAGAATTAAGCAGCTTTGTCATGGATTCACAAATCTAAAGTCTAATTGAATATAGTCTTTCCATCTAAAATGTTGACTTACAATTATTTTTTCTGTTGTCAATTTATTCTCTTTTGATGAATGAGGTAATAGAAATTGTTTATGATGAATATATTTTAGAAACAAATTCATCATTGACTCAGACTATTTATGTAAATAGAAACAATATATATATATTTGAAATATTTATCAAAGAAAGAAAAAAAGGTCTTTCGTCTGGTATTCTGTATGAACAGTGAAAAAACCAAGTCCAAAAAGCAAAAGTGAATGTTTTGTGTATTAAAATTTTTTTTAAAAAAATACAGGCTCTAGAGTTATTTTAAATGATAAAAACTTACTGTTACCATAAACAAAAATTAGGACACAGAAGTCTACACACTTGATTGCTTGGGTGGCCTAGAGAATATTTTACTTCAGATTATGCTGTCATATATTTATATGTTTAACTTACAGTGTTAGTGCTGTCGGTTAATGTGTTTATTCAACAATATTTGAGTTCCTACCGTGTACTAGGCCCTGTTCTGGGTACCAATGATACAGATGAGAAACAGGTGATTAATGGTACAAGGGAAGAAGGAGACAAAGACTTGACCCCTCATTAAACTTACATTTTACTAAAGGAGATAGACATTAACAAAGATAAAATGGAAAATAATGTCTGATGATAGCAAGGGTTATGAAGAAAAAGAAAGCAGGGTAAAAATGTAGAAAATACTGGGATCCACTATTTTAAATAGGTTGATCGGGAAAGACTGTTTGACCAGAGATCTTGACAGACTGAGGAAGTGAATTTCAACAAGCTTTCAGGAAGGAGCATCCAGGCAGAGCAGATAGCATGTGCAGGTGGGGCAAGTACTTGGCCTCTCAGAGGAACAATATGGTGGCCAGTGTGATGCTCCAGGTAAATGGGCTGGAGAGGTAGCAAGGGACCAGATCCTGTAGGGTCTTGTTGGCCATGGCAAGGAGTTTCAGTGTTATACTAAATGTGGTAAGAAGGAAACTAGTGGAAGGTTTTGAGCAGGGGAGTGACATGACATGATTTATGTTTTAAAATAATTCCTTTGGCTGCTATATGAAAAATTGTCTGTAGGACAGAAGTGGGAGCCAAAAGAGACATTAAGATGTTACTGTAGTTGTCCAGAGTGGAGAAGATGTTGGCTCGGACTAGTGGCAGCTGAAAGTGGCTGGATTTGAGAGACTGCATTTGGCTAGAATATCCAAAGGTATCTTCTGATAGACTGATTATGGTAGCAGTTGGTAGGAGGAGAGATGGAGGAGTGAGATGGGCAGGGGAGGGCAAAGGGGGAAAATTGAGGAAACTGCAATAGAATAACAACAAAAAATGATTTAAGAAAAAGAAAGAGATGGAAGATTGAAGGAAGAGCAGATTTGGGACAGATTTAAGTTTGGGATATTTCATAGAAATCCAAGTACAGATGAACTGAGGTACACATTTGAGGATCATCAGTATATGCAATGTTTGAAATGATGGGAAGAATTGAAATTACTTAGGGAGTGTGTGCCAAGAAGTGTTTTGAGGGTTGAGAACCAGGGACTCCAGCTTTCAGAAGAAAGGAAGCGCAAGCAAAAGAAAAGTAGGAAGGAGATGAAATAGAGGATCCTAGAAGCCAAGCAAAGAGTGACTTATATGGTACTGATTCACTAGCACGTTTCTGAGGTGCTTGTCTCTATTCAGGGAAGCTATTTGAGTATTATTTACTTCACTTTTATAGAATCTAACATCCTGAACAAGCACTGGGAAGCCATTGAAACGTTACTACTTTTCCTCACAATTGAGCACTTCACTGGGTATTTCTGTGTGCAGACTTATACTAGGTTACAGATCTCTATTAGTATATTCTGCCTTGTCACAGAGTGCTGGTAAGAGATCATTTCATTTCTTTTCCCTGCAGGTAAAATTTAAAAAGAAGGAAAGCAAGAATTTTTGAAGTGTTCATACGTAGTTCTTTAGTTATTTCTGTAGCTATTCCATTGGTATAGTTAATAAGAAATTTTTTAGGATTTCAAAATTATAAAGACAGGATTGTAAACACATTGTATTTTCACAGCTAGATGTAGAAATTGAGGGAAGATTAGGTGACATTGCATTGCCTGTTTAATACTGCATAAATCAGGTGATGTGTCGGTTAAGTTGACTTGGGGACATTAAATTTAATGCGTATGTATTTGAACCTTCTGTTCCATGCAGATGAACATAGTTGTCATGGACAGGAAAACAGTAGCTGCTGACTAGATTAGAGGTGAACCAGACCTCTACCATGGCCAAGAGTAAGCTTTGTGTTTAAAACCATTAATTAATGACAAAAGCCGATTCAGTTTACTGTACTTCAGTTAGTGTTAATATTTTTTAATTATAAAAATTAGTCTTTTGCATTCTATTCTATTGACAACTTTATTTCAGTCTCAAAGATGAGGTTCACTCCACTTTTTATTCATTGTTTTCCTTCTGCTTCTCTCTTTGGTGATAATTAATATTTACTTAGTTAAGCATTTATGTCACTACCGTACTTTTCAGATTGTAAGACACACACACCCAATTTGGGAGGAAAAGAGGGGTGCATCTTATAGTCCAAATGTAGCTTGCCTGGCTCACTGTGGTGGGGGAGGCCTATGTTATTTATGTTATTAAATATTTACCACATTTTTTTGCTTCAAAATTTTTTTTCCTATTTTCCTCCTCTAAAACCTAGATGCATCTTATGGTCCAGTGCATCTTACAGTCCGAAAAATTAGGTACTTATATACATTTCAGCTTCGTAACAACCCTAGGAAGAGCAAACTTCTCTCTGTACTACTCAGAAAACTGAGGCTTAGAGACAGGTTAGGTCATATGTTCAAGGTAATATAGCTGATAAATGGTCGAACAAAAGCTAGCAGCTCTCACCATTTTCTTAATATAGAACTTAAATAATTTCCATTGCTTTTCATATAAAATATAGGTCTCTGTCATAATTTTTCTTTCTCCCATGTTTTAATTCTTCTTTTTCTTTTGCTATGTATGTTTAAGATAAACTTGCTAATAAGAAAAATTTTCTGCATTTTGGATTCATGCCTCTTTTATGTTGCAGTATAGTCTTTATTTTTAAGTGGTAGCTAACCCTTAAAATGAAAAAGGCATGTAGAAATTTTGTGAGACCTGTGGTCACACTTCATCTCTCTTACTTGAAGGTTTAAGAGTGTACTTTTCTCCTCCACACTTACTGAAGTTTGTTGCAGTGAACCATTGCGCAGATCTAAAATGAACTGCTGCCACACTGTGCTGCTATAATTCTTTGTTAAGATCCACACTTAACTGGTTTTCAAGCCCTAAAGCCATAGCCTAAGATGGTGCTTCTTTGTTTTAAGTTGATCATCTTTTCAGGTAATGAACGTCTCCCTTGAGACTTTATAATATTGATGTTAAAGGTTAGGAGACATTTTTGGAACACTTATATGTTCTAACCTCTCAACCTCTTAGAAGTGACATTTATCTGAGATGAATTCTCTATGGTGTTGGATCTTTAAGGGCTTAGTAGTTGTCATAATCTAGGGATGACTTTGGTTGCTCTTGATTTTGTCATTGTTGATTTTACTAAATACATACTCAGCGACAATATATTATTCCAGACAACAAACAGAAGTCATACCTGAATTAGATGCTGTAACCTTGTTACTATTCCACATGGGTTGTCATTTGAAGAAATATTAACAAATATAAATCAAAGCAATCTTGAGGTGCAACAATTTATCAATAATGGTTATTATTTTAAGTGAACCTTAATTAATGGTTGTGTATTGGTACAGTTGTTACTGAAAACAACTCAGAATTCATATCAAGAGCTATAAAATTCTTATATCCTCTATCCTGGCAATTTTGGGGGTAAGCATTCTGTCATACCTTCTAGCCTGAATCAGAAAGATGCAGAATAGTTGTAGAGACCATCTGTCACTGGGTTCCTTTTTTCTTATTTTCTCCATACTCATTGATTTCCATGAGCACATTAATTAGTAAGGATATGTTATCCAGTAATGTAGAATTTCCAGTGCAGGTAAAATAAGTTAGCTTGTATTTGTTACATCCTCTCACTTTACTCCAATTTTGAATCAGGGATTTTTAGTATAGCAACTAATTGCTAGCATTTATGTAGTACTTATTACATATTGCATACTATTTTCTTTGTGATTATAAGTGTAAAACTATTTAATAGTAAAATGCTATGAGAAATTATGATGCCTATTTATAATAAAATGAAAGACCAGAGAGTATAAATTTAATGTGTCTGGTTAAAAATTAATACAAGGCAGAAGTGGGGTTTGACTCCAGATAAACAGGCCTGTGACATTGGAAATACTGTCGCATATTGTATTGGGTTGGCCAAAACGTTCATTTGTTTTTTCCCATGAGATGGCTCTAGTAGCGCTTAATTGTCCTAGCTTCATTTGAAATAGTTTTGTTAGATTGTATTGTAACAGCTGTCATCTCAATGTGTGTTAAACAAAAATCTTACCAAACTTGGGGAATTTTTATGTAGCCATTTTAATATTGAAGATGGAAGAAAATACGCAATATTTTCAGCATATTATGCTTTATTATTTCAAGAAAGGTTAAAATGCAACTGAAATGCAAAGAAAGATTTGTGCAGTGTATGGAGAAGGTGCTATGACTGGTGGAACATGTCAAGAGTGGTTTGGAAAGCTTCATACTGGAGATTTCTCCCTGGACAATGCTCATCAGTCGGGTAGACCAGTTGAAGTTGATAGCAATCAAACTGAGACATTAATTGAGAACAACTGATATGTTATATGCCATGCAGAAGATAGCTGACATACTCAGAATATCCAAATCAATTAAATTATTGGTGAAAATGAAAAATGTGTCTTTTTTTTTACAAAAAAAAACCATACTGACTTTTTGGTCAACCCAAAATAATATGTTTTATATTTATTGTTTACTTTTTAAGTTATTGCGATGACCAAGAACATATGAAGAATTTTAAAGAACAACTTAAAAATATTGTCTTAGTGATAACATTTATTAGAAATTATATGTATACATTTCTGATAAAAATAAAACCTAAATAGAAAGTTGAAGTGTTTATTCCATTTTAAAAGATCATATATATGTAAAGCATAATTCATTAGAATTGTTACTCTCCTTAGATAAAATTTTTGGGTGGTCATGGGAATCTCTAGCTAGTAAAGAAATGAGCTATGAAATAGTTTATAATAATTATTGTAAGCAAAAGCAGATGATAATTTTTAAGTCCTTGGGATTACTGTTGGGAGCCATCCTACCTGGTTTCAGGAGCTGTAACCCCACCGACAACACCTTTTTCCTTTGGCAATTTAGAGTTGGAAATACACCAAGAGAGATACCCTTGTTCCCTGCTAGGGCGGAATTCCAAACAGTGGTAGGGGCAGAAATGCCCTGCAGACAGTGCTTGTTAGCAGTCCTCAGTTGAGTTCTCCAGTCACTTGTGTTTTGTTACTGCCAGTACAACTACCTTTTTTTTTTTTTTAAGTGTACTGTGATAAATGTATGCAGTAAATATTTCTTTTAGTAACATTGACTTTTACTGCCTTCAGAGTACTGTGTTTTCTTTTAGGTGCCCTAGCGCCATTTTAGAGTCTGTTTGATTTGATATGAGAAAAAAAATTGAGAACCCGTCTTTGAGAAGTCTCATCACTAATCAATACATTATTATGCTGAATGCAAATTTAATTTGTAAAATGGGTATTAGCAGATTTTGTGTCATTAAAAGTAAACCTTCAGCATTTCAAATTGCAAGTGACCACAAAAGATAAGAAATTTGAGCTACTCTGTTTGAATAGATGCTTGATTTTGTGCAAACTGTTCTTCAGTGGGAAAGGCAGAAGTGATGAGAAATGTGCAAGTGATGTCTCCCTCATGTCCCCATGCTGGTTGGGAGCATCCTTTAAGTTCCCTTCTCTTTGCCAGAACCAGGGATGCTCATTCTTGGTGCCCACGTGAATATTGCTTACTTGTAAACATGGCAAGAGCCAGGGATTTGTTCTTCACTCCTAGTCCTGTTCAGGTTTTGTTGCATACCCCTTTCCTGATATCATCTATCTGTTTATAATTACAATTTTAAGTGTTAAGGTTTCTTTCTCCTTTGCCACTCACTAGACAGTAAGCCCCATGAGAACAAAGACTGTGAGTGTTTTTACTTGTCTCTGTCTTGAATGCTTAACCACTGTCCCTGAACAAAGAAGATAATTCGTGAATATTTTGCTGAGTGATTAAGGGTTTTATTTGTCTTTGTCTTCAGATGTACTTAGCATAGCATTTGATGTAGTTAGTGTTCAGTAAAGGTTTCCTAAGACAAATTGAAAAAATCTGTTTAGTGTATATAGAGTCCCTTGACAGTACTTGCAGATTTTATAAATGTGCAAAGATTATACATGATCTTATTTTAGATTCTTTGTTATTATGCGTTTAAACCTACATCTAATGTAGTAATACCTATAATTTATTGAGTTTTTTACCATGTGCTAAGCATTTAACATACTGAACCAATTAACTTCAAAACAATTCAGTTAGACTTTAATATACCCATTTTAGAGGTGAGGAAACTGGAACTCAGAAGTTAAGTGATTTATCTAAGGTCATAAAGCTAGTAAGTGGAGAATTTAGGCTTTAACCCAGGTTGCATGACTCTAGCCTGTGATGTCAGCCACCGTACAATTCCAAGTGATGGCCCAAGACAGAAAACTCCTATGTGACACATCAAAGATACGTAAGTTGTATGTCAGTGGCAGGAAAGTGTTAGGTAATAAAAATGGGTAAAAAGAAATTTTCTTTAAGTCAAACAAGTAAATAGTATATGTGATTTAATAATGTGGTTATAAAAGCAAGCTCAAGGCTGCTTGCTCTTATAATTATAACTTAGGTTGGGTGCTTGGGTTAGTCTGAGTTTGACTGGTAACCTTTTTTTGTTTCTGCTTCTTGTAGGTTTAAGTGGCCGCTTCTTTGTCACCACGCTTCCAGCATTTTTTCAGTAAGTTTAAATAATTTTCTGGTCTGGTAAATATTAAAAATCAGTCGGCATATACCAGGAATTCTGAGTTGTTCTTCATAACCATTACACATTCAGCTTCACATTTGAAGGCCAGCTCTACAGGAATGATAGCTGGTGGAGGACAGGGTTGCCCAGAGTGCTTCAGGGAGAAGAACCTAATTCCAGGCAGTGAAGTTGGGGGAGGGGGTCAGTGAAGACTTTTCTGATGACATAAAAGGTGGGATGATTCTTAATAGATAAGTAGAAATCGGTTAAATGGATAAGGGAGACAAGGACTTTCCAGAGGGAGGAGATATCATGGAAAAGCCTGCAGAAAATGAGCTACTTTATGAGAACTGTAACTAGTTCCATACGGCTGGCCCAAAGGGTTGGATTATACTGGGTAATGAGGCTAGAAGGCTCAGGTAGGGAGAGGGGAAAGAGAAGGAAGAGGTGGGTTCTGGACATGCTTAGGAGGTGGGATCACTGGGACTTGGTGACTGATTAGCCATAAAGAAGGAAAAGTCCGTGATGACAACCAGTAGGCCATGTGTGACTAGTAAAAGCTACTAGAATAAAATGAAGTTTGGAAGACAGAAGCCAAAAAGGAGAAGATAGTGTGAAGTGTCTGTTAACTTCAAATAGAGATGTTTAGGTGATAGTTTGATTTGAGGATCTAAAGCTCAGAAGAAGGATTTAGACTGGAGATAGCATTGAGATAGATAAGGGTTGAAATATAGTTAGAAAAAAAAACATGCAGTGGGAATAGAAGTAGGCCATGGATAGAACTTGGGGTTGACCAAGCTTAGGACAGGGAGTAAGGAACTGGGAAGGAATTGATGGTCAGAGTAGGAGGGAGAAGTCCAGAGAGCTCATAAAAGCCAACAGAGAAGAGGGAGGAAGGAGGAAGGGGTGATTAGTAGTGGGCAGTGCCAGTGACAGACAAAAGAAAAAAGGCAGAAAAGTGTTTCATGGGTATGGCACTTCAGAGTCATTGGAAACCTCCCATACGAGCAGTTTCAGCAGTTTCTGTGGAGTCAGGGAGGCAGAACCCCAAGTTGCACGAGTCGTGAATAAGTAGTATATAAGGAGAAAGTGGCACATGTAGACTCTTCTGTTAGGAAGCTTGACTGTGTAGAGAAAGCAGAAGTGAGGGAAGACAGGAGTAGTATGTGAAAATAGGAGGTGCTTTGTTAATTTTCAGGGGACATAAATGTTTTAAAATTTGATAAGAATAGCTATTTTGTTGCTGTAAGAGAAAAAATTAAAATACTTGGTAGCAAAAATAATGAAAAGTTACTTGGCAGGAATTTTGCTTATAATCACAAATTTTTCAGTGATAAAATAGAATGTTTAATGCTTTCTGTTTTGGAATTTCTCACTTGTAATAGATTAATATTTATGCATGCTTTCTGATTTATGCCTAAGTATAATTTTTTCTTTATTTGAGCCAAGTTAAAATTCAGAGTGTAGTTCATAGGTAAAACCAATAATTATTTTGACTTTTATTATCTGTAACACTTGTTATTTTAATGGGCTTTTTTTTTTTTTAATTTATAGTGCAAAGGATGGGATATTCCGTCGCTACCGTGGCCCAGGAATCTACGAAGACCTGCAGAATTATATTGTACAGAAGAAATGGCAATTAGTTGAGCCTCTGACTGGCTGGAAATCCCCTGCTTCTTTAACGTAACTTGTAATTTTTTTTAAATGAGAAGGTGTTATTGATAAAACAGGCAGTATCAAGTGAACAGTTCATGGACCTTGAAAGTCTACATTTTTCTTCACATTCACTTCCGGTTACCCAGACTACACATGACCATGGTTAGACCATGCTGTGTTTCTGGTTTTATCACCTACATATGTGTCAGCTGCTTGTTCCTGTATTGGAAGTAGTATCCAGATTCAAGTGGGTTACAGAAAGCCTCCCCCTAACTTCTACAGTAAGCCATGCCAACTGTTTTCCCTTTACAAAATACGGTATTGACCACATTTACCAATTTACCATTCTTTTTTCCTTTTAAATGATCGATAAGATATGGGAGTGACTCTTTTTTGAATTATAGTTTATGAAGCAATTGCTATTGTATCAATGTGGAAAATAAAACCTACGGTGTCTTTGGCTGCTTAGCAGAACACTGCTAGGTAACTTATGGCCATGATGGCACTCTACATAATAATTGGTGAGGTAGATAAGGCCCAAACCATAATAACTTTTTTCATAGTTGGTTTTCACTCTGAATGAGTTGTCATAGTTGTAATTAATTTGATTAGTATATACAAGGGTAAGGAATATCCCTGCTGAAAAAGGATCGAATTATGCAATACAGAAATAAATAATCTAGTAACATTTATATAATACTCAGGAAATATATAGCTTAGTCTAAAAGCAGGTTTTCATTATACAAATATTTGAGTAATGATTTTATGCCATAAAAATGGCATTGTTCTAGGTGCTAAATAATTCAAAAGTGAACAAGACAGACATGGTCCCTCTGTTCTCAGGTAACTTAAAGTAAAGCAGATTAAGAAAAAAACTAAGGATATAAAGAATCATAGGCTGTTTAAAAAATACCAAATAAAAGCCTTTACTAAGACAGGGAATCACTGTGGGCATAGATCTCCACTGGATGAGGGCCTAGGAGAGGTCACTTTTCGGGGAGGATTCATATAGAGCAACCTGGTCAGGTGAAGAGCAGGGGGCAATATTCCTAGGAACATGGATTACATGCATATAGGCCAAAACATGCAGAGAACTTGGTGTGTTGAGCAGAAAGGCGGCTGGGCTCAAGACAGTGAATGGTATATAAGGTGGAAAAGAGAGCAGGCAGAAGCCAGATCATACAGGCCTCTGACCACATTGAGGAACTTGGATGTTATCAGTTGCATGCAATGACAATGTGGCTCTTAGAAGAAGAGGCTGGGGAGGGCAAGCGCAGATGAGGTCAGACAGTGAGAAGGCTGTTGCAGTATCTAGCCTTGGGACAGTGCCGGTGCACGTCAGGGTGGCAACAGTGGGATGGAGAGGGTGGGTGGTTTTAATACGTGTTTTGAAGGGAGACCTGGCTAAGGTGAAGGAGAGGGGAGGTTCACAAAAAATCTTTTGGGTTTCTGGTTTGAGTACTTGGTGGTTCCTGGTACCAGTTACTGATTCAAGCAAGAAAGAACCAAGTTCAGTGTTAAACATGTTATAAGTTTGAGATGCAAACTTCTTTGCAGAGTTGTCAGATTGGTTGCATGGAGATAGATCTCCATGGAGAACTGAGAAATACAAATACGGAACATGCTGATGGCATTTGAAGCCTTATAAGGGAGGAGCTCATCTAGAGAGAGAAAAAGAGAAAAGAGCTCGGGACCTAGCTTCAGGTACTCTGAAATTAAGAATTTGGGTAGAGAAGGAGTCAGCAAAAGAAGTCAGGAAACTGAAAATGGGTACTAGTGAGTCAGGAGCACAAGCAGGAGTATGTGTTTCCTAGAAGCCAAGTAAATGAGGGTGCTCTGGAATGAAGAGTAGTTACTGAGTCCCATGTTAGCAAGAGGTGAAAGAATACCAAGTGTGAGATGTGGACATTGAATGAAGTAATGCAAGGTCATTGTGGCTTTGACAAGCAGTGATACTGCAGTAGTGTGGACAGAAGCAGATTTGAATGGATTAAAGATAACGTAAGGAGGAAGAAATGGCAAGTGAGGACTATTCCTAGGAGAAGTAGGAGGGCCATGTGAGGCCCATGAGGCTCTTTTTAAAAAGTGAGAGAGGGTAGAACGTGTTTTCATGCTGATGAAAATGATCCAGCAGAAAGAAAGAAATTGCTATTGTAGGCAGAGGGGTTGAAAAAAAGAAGCAAGTCATTGATGAGCCAAAGGGGTGAGGTCCAAGGCACAAGTGGAGCAATTAGACGGTGGGAGGGCAGATAGACTTTCTGCGTGGGAATCAGAGGAGGGGTTGTAGGTGTGCACCAGGCTCAGATTTGGTGGTGGGAAGATAAGAGAGATCACATGCTGGCTTCTGATTTCACAGTGATACTGAGGAGTGTTATCTGAGACTACAGAGGGAGGGTTGGGGGGGGGGGGGTGTGAAGGTGCGAAGAGAGGAAAAAATGTGAGCCTGAAAGATGCCATACAGAGTGCTCACTGAGGTTTGTGATTATGAAGGGAGAACAGTCAGCTGCTCCCCTGAGTTTTCCCCAGAGACACACAGCTGCCCACGGGGTGTTTGCCAGGTATGTACAATAGAGGGAGAGAGGGCCAGGGGATGTGACTGTATTTACAGCAGTGGCTGAAATGATGGCGGGGGAGTTGAAGCTCTGTATGAACACGAATGAATCCAGGAGAGGGAACAGTGCATTGCAAAAAGTGGAAGGGCAGATCCTTGTGACCGAGTTCTGTTTTTACATAGTATGCATCACCAGTGGTTCTCTTTTTTAGGATGTCTGGAATGGCTGGGCTTTTTACCATCTCTGGCAAGATATGGGTAAGTCACCTTAAATATACCCATTTTGATTATCTTTGCAGAGGGTTTTTTAAGAGTAAGAATATAACTTCTAAATGGAAATAAACATTGTAAATACTTTTATAATTTCATTTCTGAAGCCACACAACTACTCTCACAAGGGGTCCCCAGCAAAAATGTCTCTTTGTGTAAAAAGGCATAAAATAAACACGACCACTAACTGCTGTGTCAGAGTTATATTTTCGTAGATCAGTGATGAATCTCTGTCAAAGCTGAATGAGGGTTATGTGGTTTTGCTTCTTCTTATATTCCCGTTGTCATAATCTCTACAGATCAAAGATCATCTAAGCCTGAAAGTGTTCTGTATGTCAACTATAGCTAGAGGGCTGGCCACCTGTTTTTGTAAATAAAGTTTTATTGGAATATAGCCATGTTCATTTTATCACCTATTGTCTATGATTGTTTTCATTCTACAATGGTAAACTTGATTAGTTGTGACAGACCATGTGGCCGAAAAGCCAACAGTATTTACTTGGGCCCTTCAAGAAAAAGTTAGGACACCCCTGCTATATGTGATTATATCATTTCACTGAATCATTTCAGTGAATTCGAACTGTTATTTAGGTTAAAAGTTTGGACAATTACATAACCTTGAATGTCACAAAATCTTGTGCTTCTTTTTATGTAAAGTGGGCTAAATCCAGCTAGATTTAACACTGTTGCTGTGGAATTAAACATATCCTTCAAGTATTCCAAATCTGCAGAAATGAGTTCCTCTGTTTGTCTTTCCTATGCTATGAATGTAGGTCAGGGTGTCACACTTGGAACTTAATATTCAAGGAGCTCATGAATTCTCCTTGACTGTGTCTCCTGCACATTGAGATACAAGGATGCCGAGGGAAATTGAGTAACATTTTGTATCCCAGTTTCTTAGTTATATTTTGTTTTCTGTGTTGTGAGATAGAATGCCAACTTCAGGATTTTTTTTTTTAACAACTGAAGCTAAATTGGTCACTTGGGTACAGTTGTTTCTGGTCAAAATTTGTTAACTGGTTTTTGTTTTTATTTTTGTAATTGGATGTTACATTAAACAATAACTGGTCTTTTTCCTCTCCAGATAGTATAAGTTTCATATGGTTTCCTTTTACTCTTTTCTTAATAATGATGAGAAGTTTATTCAAGGGCTGAGATTTATGAATTTACAACTGGGAATTGAGAGTAAGGGATTCTGTGTTTTGCAATATGTTGGTACTAAAGGTTGACAGAGTCATACATTTATCCTTGCAGCCACCTGAGAGCCTAAGCCTTAAAATGTCCAATTTAATAGGATAATTATAATGCATGGATGTCAGCAATCACTGAGACATGGTCTTAGCATATAACCTGTGATAAGTGCAGGTCAAGAGATGAATTTTGTTCCATGGGTTAATGTGCACTTTAGGTAGAAGTTAGTCATGGCTTTCACACATGGTTAAAGTGTTTTACATTCAAACATAGTAATCAGAGAAATGATTGCCCTGATCACATATGACTTGGCATTTAGTACTTGGATAAACAAAAAATTAAGCAAGAAGTTAAAATTTTTTATTAGATTAGGCAAATGATTACAATGTGCATTGTCACATCAAGGCCAGGAAAAGTGGTTTTATCATTGTATATGTGCAGTGCCCAGCCATGGACAGCGTGGATGGATTCTGTGTGGATGCACTGGGCTGCAGAGAAAGGCCATTTGGAGAAGAGAATATGACCCATCTCTGAGTAACCAATTAAGATACTCAGTTTTGTTATTGACAAGTAGGGTATATATGATGTTTATATGTATATTTAGAATGTTTTTACACATATTTAAAAAGGAACAAAAAGACAGTTTTATAAGATAAACTATAAATTTGACACACAAAACTTTTCATTTTACATTTCATAAAGTTGCTTTTATCTAATGTTAAAACCATACTTTTTTTCTTTTTGGTTAGCATTTGCCTGGATGTTTTTTCCCCTGCCAATCTTTTTGTTGTTGTATGAGTGAGTCTTGTAGAAAGTATGTATCAAGAATTAATTCTTCTAACTGATCGGTTTAGTCCATTTAGTCCATTTATTGGGATCACTAATACATTTGCTCTGACTGTAGATTGTGTGTGTGTGGAGGGGGGAGTGCACCTGACTAAAAGAACATAAAAGGTAGGTTTGTAGATAATTTTGATCTTCTCATGTGTATATATGTTACCTTAAAAATCTGTAATAGAAATCTGGTATATCCTCTGTGTCATCATATAGCTTGCCCAAGCAGCTTAGCAATTTTTTTGGTTTCTTTGTTTTTTAAAAACAAGTTCCTAGCCTTTCATGAAATTTCTGGGAAGGGCTCACACCACCTGTGTTTCTAGATTTTAGCCCAGTTGTTTGTTTGCAGAGAGTAAGAATTTCTGGCCTGGTAGGATCCAGTCCTTGGCTACATGTTGGTCTCTGGTTTCCATTGGGTTGGCTAAAAAGTTTGTTTGTATTTTTCTGTATGATGGCTCTAGTAGCACTTAGTTTTCTTTAACTTCATTTGAAACAATTTTGTTAGGTGGTTTGTGACAGCTGTCATAACAGTGCACATTTAAAAAAAGGTACCAAGATTAGTGAATTTTTGTGTAGCCATTTTGATATTGAATATGAAAGATATGCAACATCTTTGGCATGTTATGCTTTGTTATTCAAGAAAGGTAAAAACGCAACTGAAACATACAAAAAAGATTTGTGCAGTGTATGGAGAAGGTTTTGTGACTGATCGGACATGGTCAAAGTGTTTTGCTAAGTTTCATGCTGGAGATTTCTTGCTGGACGATACTCCACAGTCGGGTAGACCATTGAAGTTGATAGTGCTCAAATCAAGACATTAATGAAGAACAAGCAATGTTCTACTACACAGGAGATGGCTGACATACTCAAAATACCCAAATCAATAAAGTGGTTGGTGAGAATGAAAAATGTGTCTTTTATTTTGCAGAGAAAACTAAACAGACCTTGTGGCCAACCCAATACTTTAACCGTTAGGTGCAGTCTTAACATGTTGCTCTTATAGAACCACTTACTGAGACAGTCCTGGCTGACCACCCAGCCAACTCAGGTAGCTTATTTAACTGGCTCTTCTTCCTTGCTCAAGATCCTTTCATCAGGGCTGAATGTATGATTGTGGGGAATATAATCTGTTTTTAACTCATGTCTAGACAGTAAAAAAAACTGTAGTGCAACCAGGTTAACAGTGAATAGAAGAAACACAGCATGTGATGGGGGAAGGAGAGACTGAGAGAGAAAATAGAGCTAGAAATAAAAGAGGAAAAAGTCTTCGAGAAGAAGGTAAAAACATGGAAGAAGGAAAGAGAGTGGCTAATGCCAGTGAGGCACAGTTGCTGATGCCCATCCTCAATCTCTTTTAGCCCGGGTGTCAGGCTGTCCACAGCAAAAGTCGCCTCTGGATGGATAGTTGGTTAATATAAATACTTCCATGGAGAAAATTGCATATTATTCAGCAGTGTGATGATAAAACAGTATGTATAGTGTTATGTTTATATAAAGTTTTTATTTGTATGCAGGAAAACACCTAGAGAGATACATCAGGTATCAATAATGGCTATCACTAATATTGGAATTATGGCTGATTTCTTTAAAAACATTCTTATCTTTCTCTGCATTTCTAATTTTCTGTGTGAAAAAGATAAAACAAAAATGAGCACTATCTTTAAGACCAAAGCCCACTGGCTTAATGATTCCTTAAACTCCTTGAGTTTCTGCCTGAGGAGTTAGGAGTGAAGCCATGCTTGCTGGGCCTGGTGTTTTGGAAATGAAAGCTGCTCTTCAGGATTGGATGTCAGGATCATGTGGTGAAGAGACACACATCCACACAGCCGAGTACCTGTGAACCCAGGGGATTCGTCTGATTCTGCATTTGGCTTTCCTAAGTCTACTCCAGCCTCCCATATGTTCTTGCTTGGGTATACCCTTGAGGTGAGGAAGTCCTTTGAATAGTTTATAAGCCAGATCCTGTGAACTTCCTGCTGTCAGCTGGAATCCTTGGGATCCTTGATAGGTAATTTGTACCACAATGTTGGGGAAGGATAGATTATCTCAAGTGTTTTTTCCATCACCAATATTCAGATTGTTTTCCCATCCTAGTCATGATGGTACTCCCCTATGTATTCTAGTTTTTATATGGACACAGAAGAAGTCACTGTTACTTTAGCTATAATACCTGTCCTCATGTATAGTCTTGACATCTACCTGCCTCACCGGAGTCACTGAAGCCTGGAAGATGGACAGCTAGGGGACTCTCTCAGTGGATGTCTTCTAGATACAGAGCTGATACTGGCTTCCTATTTATAGTAGCAGTATTCTTTAAATTGCATTCAGCTTTAAAAAGGTGACTCAACTTGATGAAAAATGTTAGTTTAAAGGACAGCATGAGGTGGGAGTAATGTCATGAGAGTGATGGGCAGAAGACTGACCTTGGGAGCACCACTGTCAGAAGTGGCGCCACAGTCAGGGTCAGGGATCTGGGTTGAGGTTTTGTCTGTGGCCAATGTTTGGAGAGACTTTGTAGTCTTCCTGTCTTCTGGTCTCTCTTTGCAGTTGTGTACGGTGATGCAGGGAAGCATTGTCTTTTCTCTTTTCCACTTTGTGTGTATGTCTCTGAACCCATTTGTTTTTCCTGTATAAACTGTTGTTGCTAGAACACTGAATGCTTAGCATAGAACCTGGCACCTAGTACGTACTTGATAACTGCTTTTGTTAGTTATAGCCAATCACTATTGTCATCATTATTTTATTTTTCCACTCTGATTAGGCATAAAGGACTATTTTGCTTTTATTTATTTTTTAACAAAATCTGATAGCAGTATTAAAATTGGGTTCTATAGCAGTTTACAATGTGTACTTTTGCTAACTAGGTTTAGCATTTGAATATATTTAGATATTATTTGATTTGGTGACTGTGTGCTGCTCACTGAGCTAATACAGTACCTTAACTCTTTTCAGTGTTACTTTTTGGTGCAGGCGCATGGGGAATTTTAGCTATAATAAGCTGCACTGCATCTTTGGGAGGATAATCTGTGTGATGGAGGAGATCTAATGCTTTGTAAATGTCGCATGATGAGAATTAAAGGCCATGAGTATTTAGACTGGAGAATAGTAAGAGTATATTTTAAATTTCTAAAATATCCCCTGTATTTTATCAATAGATAGTGGCACCTTTTCTCTTACTGCTTTTTTTTGGGCATGGGGGTTCTCGTACCCAATATCTAGAACAATATGAAGGTGAGATGGTACACATCCACTGATAGATCTCTCAGTGCTGAGGGGGGCTGCAAGGGTGTGTCTCGGTTCCCACGTTGAGGAGGGTGTGACATGGATGGGGAAGTGACCTCTAGGCCATCTCTGGAGAAGTCTCTCTGAGCTGCTGCCACACAGAGATTGTAGTTTGAGGATTAGGATCTGTGTCTGAGAAGTATATAGGGCTTGTCCCCAAACTCCTCAGAGCATATCCTGTGACATAGGTGGGATATAAATTCAAAAGGTTCTCTGCCCTTCTGGGCCATGCCAGGTCTGAATGAGACTGCACTGAGCGGGATGGGTGGGTGCCGTGGGCAATACCTAATCGGACCTGCAGTGGTTCAGTAGTTCGGGTTTTAGAGGCAGTCCTGGCCTCCTTGGGTGAGGGAAGGCTCTACCTTTGATCCGTGAATGGATCCAAGGAATGTTGGCCTGCCTCCATTCCTTATTCATCTGACCGCTGGTTGGAATGTCCTTATGTATTCTTTAATGGTATCTTCACTCAGTCTTCTTACTGAAATCTCTGTGTAGCCCCAGTTGGCTCTAACTCAGTCATTGATGACAATACAAGGTATCAGGCCCATCAGGCAACATTTTTGTATATTTTAAGGACACAGAGTAGGATGCTTGTGTGAGCGTATATAGTATTCAACAAGGATCAGTGTTTTCCACAAGTGAAAGCTATCATTGCCTGGCAATTAAAGAAACAGAAACACAGAAATCTCAAACTGAATTAGATCAGTTTTGATTCAGATTGCTTGGAGATTATATGCACACACACACATATTTATTTCTATGTATATATATAAAACTATATATATATATATATCAAGTACCTATACCCAAGAACCCTAACACTCTTTAAACAAATTTTTTTAATTTACTGATTTTTAATTTACAAGTTTTTTCTTGAAGGAAAAAGAGAAACAACAATTTGTCGTTCCACTTACTTATGCATTCATTTGTAGATTCTTGTATGTGCCCTGACCAGGGATGGAACCCACAGCCTTTTTATATCAGGATGATGCTCTAATCAACTGAACTACCCAGTCAGGGCAAGAACCTTAACACCCTTAAGGCACTCTAAAACCATTGTGGAGTCAGATAAAGTAAATAGATAAAGATTTATGTCTGAAGTTATGAAAATAGAACTTGATTAATGAGACTTCAGTAATAATCACCAAAAAGACCACATTCTACCACAGTTCTATCAGGGTTTCTCTAAGAAGCTCAAACAAATACTTTAAAGTATAAGTTGATATAAGAACATTGAAGTGGAGAGTATTTTGACTGTGCTAAGAAATGTGAGTCAGAATGTAAATGATGCAAAGGCAAATCATTTACTGCATTCTAGAAAATAGAAAGTTTCTTGAGGCTTACGTAAATCATTTATTTTACAGGAAAGGCAAAGATCCTGTCTAGAAGGACTGAAAACTGTGCATTACTCATTCCAATCATATGAGTAAGGCAAGTGGGCAGATATTATTTATACAGCAAGCTCCAGAATTCTTACATCCATGGGTCAGCACAAAGGCTGACTGGCTTTCTCGGTCTCCTAATTCTTCGGCACATTTCAGAGATTAACCCTGATGACAGCACTGAGTCATCAAGAAAAGCATAGACTGTGTTCAGTACATAGAATTTTCTGAAGGAGGGACTAGTGCAGTACATTTAAGAACTTTTGTTGAAAAGGATTTGAATAAAACAACATTTTAATATCCCAATATTTATGTTGCCTCCTCTCAGCATGCTCCCAATTGGGAACCTGGCCCTCAACCCAGGCATGTACCCTGACCAGGACTTGAACCTGAGATCTTTCAGTTCACAAGCCGGCACTCAGCCCACTGAGCCATACCAGCCAGGGCTGGATTATTCTTAATAAATAGTTGCCCTGGCTGAACAGAGATTCATGACCAATATAGGCAACAGAGGACAAATGACAGTTTTACAGATCGAGGTTGTTTGCATTTCCTGTGAATAGTTTGAAGATTTGCTAGTGTCTTTTACTTACCTAACAATTATTTATTAAACACTTTGATTATGTGTCAGCGTTTAAAATACTTGCTGTCTTTAGGTCTGTGTATTCAACTGAATAAGAAATTGGAGAGAAGAGATCTCAGATTTTTCTAGATTAGTTCAATAAGCTTTTTTATTTGTTTATCATTCAGACTTAAGCCAGGATGACATATATTATTTCATTGTATTGACATTTATGAACTGAGAAACCAATGGGAGATACTTGAGTATCTTAGATTTTGAGAAATACAACATTAAATTAAAATAGGGTTTGCACTCATTTTTAGCTACCTCATTGCTAAATTACCTAGTAATTGCTGGGATTGTAGTGAATGACTATTTTTGAAGCAGTAAGGACCTAAAACCAATGATGACTAGCATCATGAGGAAGCATGGCTCCTGCATGTCCACATGTATGTGGGCTTGGACTCCAAACTACCAGTTCATATCTGTAATTTCTGTGTAATTTTAGCATGGAAATAATTTCTAGCTCAGATTGTATCTCTTCATTCTTTTTTGATTTTTGGTATCAAATAGAGTTCCAAGGAATAGTAAGCGTAAAAGGATGTATACTCTACTCAAAGCCTGGTGAAGTCTCATTTCCTTGGAATGAATAATCTGGGAAAACCTTCTGTCTAATACTACATTTTAGCTTTTATGGTGATTTAGGAGAGTTGTTCCGGATGGGTAGGGATACAGAAATCAGTGTCCAACTAAACAAAGGAAGTATGGAGACATTTAAATGTTGATACTCTGTAAGTAGTATACTTAGTTCTACTTAAAAATTGGTGAAGGCCCAAGAAGTTTAATTTTTTATGTGTGCCAAATTATGAGTAAAAAATTGAGGAATATATAATTATTAGCAGAGAGTGACTAAAAAACCTATCATCATGGAAGAAGGCACTCTGGTGCCCACTTCTACCAGAGTTCTATCAGGTCATGAACTCCAAAGAAATATAACTCACACTCGGTATAACCTTGAGTATTACTCTCAGAATCTCAGTGTTGTAAAGTTTGACTACTTCTTGAAGAATCATAAAGGCATAAACAACAGGATCACCTTTGTGGGAGTTCTTATATGTGGAAACAATTTGCAGACTTGAGTTACAGCTAAAGAAGTAGATTTAAACATTTTTGGTCCTTATTATAAGTAATTTTTTTTCTTGTGATTACAGCATCTTCACAACTATTTCACAGTGACCCTTGGAATTCCTGCTTGGTGTTCTTATGTCTTTTTCATCATAGCCACCTTGATCCTTGGCCTTCTCATGGGTCTGGTAAGAGAAACTGTCAATCTCTTTTCCTGTCTTTAAAGTCAAATGGGTTTCATGAAAAACTACAGAGCAGCCAAGAAAGAAAAAGCACATAAACAAATATAACTCTGTGTGTAATCTAAGCAGTTAGGTAGTATTTGCTTGTTGATTTGCTTTCAATGGTAATTTGAGATATAATGGAAAAATCATAAAATCATTACTCCTAATCCTGTCCCTTAAATATTATGAAGATGTGTGCTGACCAAAATATAAGCAGTGATGGAATAAGAAAGAGAGATCGTACTTTAATTGATAGTTTCCGAGACAGCCCCATCAGCTGTGATCGCACGCATTGCCACTTGACGGGAGCACTGCGGTGTGAAGGCCAAGGCTGTGGTTTTATTCCTTGAGTAGGTGAGATGGTTTTTTCCTGTTCATGTCTTCCACTTGAACCTCTAATCCTGGCCAGCTACTTAATGCATACATGCTGGTTTTCCCAAGGTGGACTTTATAAGATAATGTTGATAAAAAACACAGTCCATATTGTGAAAAAAAAAGTAAGATGCAAAGCACATCACTATGTCTTCTTTGAGTATGACAATCAGTGTCTAGTCAGTATCTTGTATTTCCTCTTTAGATATTTTAGGAAGAGTTGGAGTAATACATTTATTTATTTAACTGTAAAGGCAACCTTTACAGTGTTTTGGCATGTTTTTCTCTGATAGTAATTTTTTAATGTTTCTCTCTGCCTACACTTGATCAATTTGATTGAGCTTTAAACTAATTAATATAAATTTTAAAAGCCCTTATACTACATATTAATCACATAGCTTCTAAACGCTATTTGATGGGAGTAAGTAATGATTAGTAAAAATTTATATTAAAAGGACAGACTTTTAGTTAAGGATATCTTAAAAGTCTGTCTTTACATTTTATAATGAATTTTGGCTCTTTAGCAAAGTCTTTTTAAAAATAAGATTAAAATACTAGCAGTTGTCTCTATAGCAAGTTCTAAGTTCTTGTGACAAAGTCCAGGGAGCCAAGGAGGCTCAATTTTACTTTGCCATGAATGCGCTTACTTCTTATTCTGGTTTATATTTGAGATTTGACTGCTGATGCTAACTAACCTCATGGGTGGGGGCAGGGCTTAGATGTCATTCGTTAGGTCCTAGGAACACTTTGTTCTGATGCATTAATCTTACTGCTATTAACATGTCTCTAATGCTCTAGCCTAAAAGGATTTGACTCTCTATATAAATTTGACTTTGGATGCAAATGTGCTTCTCCCATCTACTTGTCTAGTGGTAGGTTTTTCTTGCGGTGTGTTCTGGAGCCACACAAGTAGGAGGTTCTTGTAGGGGGAACAGCATGGGATCCTAGAAGATTCTGAGCTGGAGTTATGGGGATTGTAGGTTGAGTGTGAGCCTATTGCAAGACCATTGAGAAGTCTTCTCTGCGTAAAGAGTTTTAAATTTTATCTTTGAGGTTGAATTTAAGCTCAAGAATAACATCAGGCCTGCTTATGCCCTATGTTCATTTGGAAACTTAGATTCAAATAATCAGTGTAGGAAGGTTATTAGAGGCTTGACCCAAAGGAAGAAGAGAGTTGATTCAAGACTGTTCAAGTGATTAAGTGATACATTACTTCTTTATAAGAAGTTGGGGGGAAAAAGAAGTTGGGAAGAAAACTTTTTTAAACAAAATAATTTTAAAATAGTAATAGATTCAAATTGTTTAATACATTTTCATAGAGTAGCATACACATATCTCTACTTAAAATGCCTTTTCTGCAGCTATAACATGTGTTAAAACACACATCACTAGAATTTTTGTCTTGTGTGAGGTCTCCAGGTGTGCAGGTGAGTGCACTGTGTCATCTTCACCATGGCCTGGGGTGCAAAGTAGAGCCCAGGCCTGCAGACAGGTGAAGCTGGGCCCTGCTGACCTTGGAGGTTCTCCTTCCCTCTAAGAGTGTGTCTGGCATTTAACCTGTATAGTGGACATGAGCAGCAGGATGATTTCATGGAAAAGAATTTCCTGACCAAGTCACTGTTTCCTATAAGCCTGACTATTAAGTTTCCTATTTGTGCCTAATTTTAAAAGATGGGAAGTAAAACAAGACTGCTAGTTTGATTTTTGTTTGTTTTCTTGATTGAACCTAGTGATGGTTGAAATATTTTACTAAATGTTGTTTTCACATGTTAGAAATCAAGTATATATTTTGGATTTTAAACCAATATGGAAAGATCCCTAAGTGCAGTCTACATATCAAATCACTCTGGCAGCATCATTTCCTGCTAGAAGGGTAACTCTGCTCTGAAGGGTAACTCTGCTCTGAAGGGTAGAATAGCAAAGCACTGGACAAGGAGAAAAGCAATGGAAAATACAGGCAGCAATGTTTCGCCTTTATTGTCTGGTCTCCGTCTCAGTTGATATAGACACTGTTGAAATTTTGGTGCTTAGGTAGATTATTTTTCTACACACTGATGACCAGTGGCTAGAGCAGAGCCTCTCACTGTAGCATGTCACTGTCGGCGGAAGGCCGTACATCCATCTGCTCCCCTCAGTTAGGTGCATGTCCGTCTGCACCTCCCCGGGTAAAAGCTGAAACCTGAAAATAAAAGCCTGGAAGGGAAGATGAAGAAGAAGGGACCGTTCCCCTACCTACCCCCTTATTAAACAGTGCCATTCTGAGTGGCTCAGAAAGTGACACGTTCCGAGGGAATGGCTCTCCGGACCAGAAAATAGATCTGGAACTGAGAGAATATGAGAGAATGACAGAGTTCTATTCCCAGTTTTTGAAAAGAAAGACTTTGTAACAGAATTATGCACTGTTGGACATGAAACACACCTTGATGATAGGCCAGCCCAAACCCATTTTTTAAAGAGAGAGTACAACTGAGGGAGCAGTTAAGCAGCCTCTTGGGCCACATAGCCAATGAGCGACAAAGTTGAGGGTTGCGTCCTATACGTCTTAATTTTGAGGTTCCTCGGTAATAAAAGTCCTGTCTACTCACTATAAAATCACATTTCCCCCCTTCCAGGTCTTGGTGGTAATATCAGAATGTTTCTGTGTGCCAGGTCCCAGGCATCTGTCCGAACACCCCGGTAAGTACGATAAACTCACGCAGCAGTGTTTTGGGAATTCTGTGCTATGTCCTTTTGTGCTCATGTGGGTGGTGGACATTCATTCCCCAGTTTGCTAGGTGACCAAACCACCACTGCTACCAAATCCCCTGAAATATGTTCTGTAGATAGACTTGAACAAAAATGCACTTTCTTAAATTAAGGAATATTTCACTGTGGCAATTTCTCTTCCCCTTTAAGCATATGAGTCAGTTGACACCTTTTTTCTTCATTCAGACTGGAATGAAAAGGGAGGGAGGGGAACTCCCATTTATTGAGTCTCTACTGTGTGCCAATAACTGTTCAAAGTGCTTTATAAGAAGTATCCTTAAATCTTTGTATTGTTCCACACTGTTTCTGAGACCAAATAGCACTGAATTTGCATGTTTTCAATCCTGTTTTTGAAACTTGTCATGAAGACTTTTATGAGACTTTGTAATGGTTGAATTTTATGTTAGGGTTTAAATAAGCTTATATTTCTTTTTGGTTTTGAAGTTTTCAAGGCTTCAAGATTTCCATAGGTACAACAATGTACCACTGAAGCACAAGAATACTTATGAGACTTATGAGAAATGCATTGTTAGGTGTGAGCTGGCCTTCGTGCAGACACCACAGACAGCACTTACACGTGCATAGATGACACAGCCCGCTGCAGCCTCTGTGTGTGACGCTTCTGCACGGCTAGCAGCAGAGCAGGTTTGTTTGCACCAGCATCGCCACAAACACACAGGTAATGCAGTGCAGCTGCATCACGAGGGCTGTGATAGGAAATTTTCATCTCCATCATAATCTTAAGGGACTGCTTTGGTATGTATACTCAGTCCATCGTTGATTGAAATGTTGTGATGTGGAACATAACTATAATTAGAAGTTATATTATGTTCCACAGAATTCTTAGAGTAACAGAAAGCCAATTTAAAGTAACGTAGGGAGAGAAAAAGAAAGATTTATTAGCACACATAACTGACACTCCAGGGAGGTTCTAGATTCAAGCCCAGCCCAAGGGATGTTAGATTTCTCTTTCCATGTGACTGAGTGGCTGTCAACAGCAATAGCGATCGCTGTAGAGAGAAAGCTTTTCCTTCTGACTCTGCCAAAACTGCTGGGGAACTCTGATTGGCCCAGCCTATCATGGTGAACTGATTACCACGACCAGTGAGTGGGTCACTGAACCTTCTAAAAGGTACAGAATACAAAACATGCAGGACCTTTGCCCTCCCTGACTGCATGCTCTGCCAGAGTCAACACGGTCAGTGAAATCTCCTGAGAGGGATGGAGAAGCCCTGGACCCTGGACGGGGCTGGGGCGCCAACCAGTGGTCTGTCCTGTGTAATAGCAGCTTCAATATGGAGAAAACCTCCATGTGCCCACCACCTTTTTTATTTCACAGGCAAAACCAGTTATTTCATTGCTGAATGACCATTGCTTATTCAGAGGCCATTCCCCTCTCTTCCCTCTACAGAGCAGAATCAGAAGTCCAAGGAGGCTCATAGGGCCGACCAGTTGCTGGATGCGGAGGAAGAAAAAGATGACTCAAACGAAGAAGAAAACAAGGACAGTCTTGTAGATGATGAAGAAGAGAAGGAGGACTTTGGCGATGAGGACGAAGCAGAGGAAGACGAGGAGGAGGACAACCTGGCTACTGGTGTGGATGAGGAGAGGGGTGACACCCGGGACCAGGGGCCTCCGAGGGAGGCCCAGGAGGAGGAGGAACCTGAGGAGACTGAGGAAGATGCCCCTGAGCAGCCCCGTTCACCTGACATGGAGGCAACGGAAGACACCCTGCGGCAGCGCAAAAGTCAGCATGCTGAGAAGGGACCATAGGTTTAAAGACAGTATTTACAAGACTATAGAGCAGAGGGATATGTCAGCTTCCTTCTGGTCTTCCATTTAAACCAAATCCTCATTGTTTCCTGAGTGAGCAAGCTTCTCTTATAAAAAGAAAAAAACAATTTCTAGTCATGTGGTCTCATGACATTAAGCCTAATGTATATAAAGGAGAATCTTTCAGGCATGACAATCCGGATACGTGGTGTTAGAATATGTTTGGGAGCTTGGGATGGGCACAAGTTTACCTGCTTGGAGCTAGAGAGTCTGGACCTGAGGAGCTGACTCCAGCCCTCGGGAGCACCGTTCATGGACGAGGCTGCAGGCCCCGCGGTGAAAGCAGAGCCACCTGATGGCAGAGCCGCCATCTCAAGTGCAGCAGAAGCTGTGCTTCCTCTTGCATTAAATATGTATTTTTTGTCAAACTGTAAGAAACATCAGGCATTGTAGTACAGTGTCCCTTTTGGAGAGATGGAAATTGAGAGGGCCCTGGATATTGTAGAAATGAGCTTGGAAGTTACCCCGACTCTAAATCTCCTTTGTCATGCTTTACTTCTGACCTTGAGGTATTTCCAGTGATCCCATCACAGGCCTGTGGGTTCCCCACACTCTTCACCCCGCTGCAGCGAGAGGAGGCAGACCGCAGCCGGGTGGACATTGGCTGTGTTTGCTCAGCTTCAGGGTTCAGGTAATCAAGAACTGCAGCCACGAAGCTGTGACTGCCGAGCCCCTCAAATGCTGTGTTGTAACCTTTGGAGATTCAAAGGAAGTAGATTTTACAGGAAAGAGTTTTATTGTTTTTTTGCCAAAATGTAAGTTTTTTCAAAAAAATTCTTTTAACACTATTTTTTTTTTCAACCAAGAAGTCCCCTAAGTCTTGCCAGTACAAGGTAGCCTTGTGAAGAAAATTGAACGGTGTTGTTTTCTTTCTGTCTCCAGGGGTTCCCTGATTTGAACCACTTTAATAACTGAAAAACCATTTCTGGTTTTCCTTCACCGATGTCCTTTTGCTGAAAGAATTAATGAAAGTGAATATCTGGAAATGAAAGATTTGGTTTCATTTCCTTCTTCCTTAATCTTGTAAAGAATTTTATCCCTGTAAATCTCTCAATGCTCAATCTGCTAAAAGTACTCAGGGGGCCCAAGTTCTTTTAAAAAAATCCATCCATCTACTTCTGCCTTACCTGATTTATGTTTTAGAATAAATTCATAAAATTAGATTCCCAGCTTATGAGAGATGACTGAAGTTGATTCTATACCCCTTGGGTCTGGACAGAATAATAAGCAATGCAGGTTTATGAAATTCAAAAGTTTCTGTCATTTTAAAGAAGAAATGTGCAGTGTACTCTTACCTGGCTGTTTAGGTAACCCTTTCCGTTTATGAGCTCTGAACGCTGGATTCCTGGGGAGAGGAGGAGGCTCTGCAACTTGCTATCCTGCACTCGAATGAGCCTGTTGCAAACCTCACACAAAGGGAGTTTTTATTCTGTGAGAAACCAGTTTTGGAGATGGTTATTTTTCATCTTTCCAGTTCTATTACCTGACAGTCTCATCCCACAGCATGGTGAGGTTCATGAAGGGGGACCAGTTCCTGCGGCTGTAAAGCTGGGAGCTCCCGCTGGGCAGAGGATGTCAGATCTCATTGTCCTCCCAGCACTTTGACCCTCTCCCGCAGGCCCTCAATAAGATGGCTGGAGCCCCTCCCCCTCCTCCCTGCCCTACACACACATACACACACACACACACACACACACACACCACCACCACCCCCCACCCCCAGAAGAGTCACCAGTAGTTTTTCTCTCAGAAAGATAGCATCAAGACTTCCAGTTCAAGGCCATTAGGGAACTGAGGGACTGGAAAATCTTGACTTTCGTTCATTTCCTTTCCATTGCACCAGCTAGGTCTCTGTCACATCTTCATCCGAAGTGCCATCCTTCTGATGGTGGCAGCTCCAGCTCCCTGATACCAGGAAGCTTTTCTGGGTCATTGCTGAGGTGGGTGGGCTTTCCTGTCACTGAATTTTTTTCTCTTACAACTAGTGGAAGCAAGTTTTCAAAGGTCATTAAGTTCAAGTTCAGGGTTATAGAATAATAAAGGATTCAACTTGCTTTTTCTGTATAATATCCCTTCCCTCATAATAAAATAAGTTTTTAAAGTGGAATTTTTGACTAGAGAGGAGGGAATGAGGAATAAAATCTACTTTGGCTTTTTAGAAATGTAAGGCCAATTTCCAGTTGGACCCCAAATAGTACCTAATTATATAATTTTAAAAAATGTATTTTCTTCCTCAGCAATAGTTTTAAAAAAATGGAGGGGAGAAAAACATCTTGGAGAAGAAAATTCATTAAAAGTTTAAATGCCTGGCTATGAAAACCATTTTTCCTATTTTTAACCTCCTGGCAAAAGATGGTTTTTACCAAATGGTCTGATAAGTACACATCCAGTTTCATTTTTTTCTGTTTGTAGTGTTTAGGTTTGCTTTGAGTACCAACAATGTAAGACTAAAGAGAAAAAGTCAATCTACTATAATTTGAAATTAGTTTAATATTTTAGTAGAATTTTAAGGATATTTCTTATAGCTAATACATTGATTCTGGAAGTCAAGTACATGGAAACACGATTTTGATATAAAGAGTAAAAAATTATGATGCTCTTCTCATTGCAATGTCAGTAATTTAAATACAAAATAGTACCGTGTATAAATCAAAATTAGGTGAACTAATCAAAAGCAACTGGAATTTGAAATGGGAGTGCACTGCTCTGTGTGTGAGTAGTTGTAGCAGGGTGCTTTTCATTGATTAGAAGGAAAGTAGAAACTTAGCTGCCTTTCCCGTAGTTTCTTCTATTCCTCATCTTGTGGCAGTTCTGCTGCCCTATCCCAACTTGCTCGGAGATCTCACACCAAGGCAACCCAGAGCCAACCCACGTCTTTCCCTCTGAAGTATAAGCACTGAGTGGGTGAGGACAGGGCTCATTCAGATTGCTGCGTCGGCTCATGCTTGTAACCTAATCTCGTGCATGGGACCCCTGCTAGCCACAGGCCGCTACGTAGAGAAATTCCAACTTACGTAGTAAAAAGTAAGCTTTGGCCAGTTTGGCTTTTGACACTGGAGAAAACCAAATTTTGACTTGTTTATGGCCAAATCCCCTTGTAGATAGCAACGGTGGTGCTATGTGATTTGGGTATGTGCAAGCCTGCAGAATCTGCATCCTGTAACACCTTTGGGGTAGATGATAAAATGTCCTTCAGGGCAAGTACTTAACATGTGAAGTTTTATTACTGAGTCCTGCAAGTTGACCCAGTATGTTGCTTTACAGGATGGGAAACATTAAAGAGCCATACACACAAAAGGGTAGAATATTCCTGAGATTGCAGCATATAACCTTAAATTGGCACAAAGTGAGAGAAATAAAGGAGATTGGTGCTTTGCTGATGTATCAATATTTACCTGTCCTTTATCTCAGTATTGAAGAGTTATTTCTACCAGTGTTATAAATGTGTGGTATACCCACCATATCAAATATAACAACATTTTTGAAAGTATTTAAATCTTTTGTGCCAACAGAAAAGATCCTTGTTTAGTATTTCTTTACCTCAGCCCTACATTTCAGTCCTCTTGAGGATTATAGCTTGTCTTGAAAAAACCAAATGTGTCATCAATTCAGATGAACCCATGACAGCTTTTGAAATAGTTTTCCTGAACCAGGAGGTTCAGTTGAAAGGCCTGTGATAGCTTCAGACCAGCACATGGCCTTGTTCTCAGTCCAGTTTCGTGTGAATTGCTACATTGTATGTGTGTGACTCGTGCCATTGATGTGTTTCCAATATAGTGTAATTGTATTTGTTACTAAAGAGCTTCGTTGTGCAAATGCAAGTTTTATACTGAAAATACTTATTTGTATTTCAATGTTATAAATTTATTATTTATATTCTTTTGTAATAGTATTGATTATTTAATCAATACTATTGATAATTATTTTTCTCATCATCCATGTATTCTTTGCTTCCCCAAATAGTATCTACAGCAACTGGAATCAAGATAGGAGTTTCTAGCAGTACATTGCCTGAATTGTAAAGAACCTAATCACAAAATTGTACATAATCCCTGATCCTGTAAGTTTTCACTTTATGTAAATTCCCATTTGCCTTAAAACCTAAGTATAATGATAACTAAGTAAGAACAAAACAATCTATTGCTTTTTATATAAGTATTTTCACACAAGTCCTTTGCCTAGGCACTGTAAAATATTACTTTGATATAAAGCTAATTTTCCTCTGTCCATCCTCAGTCCAGTCTGTTCATTTTTTTTCTTCCCTGCTTGGCTTGGTGAAACCCAGACCGTGTGCCTTTGGCTGGTCTGGAAAGGCCACACAACCAAAGAAGAACCATCAGGGGGCTCCTTGTCACAGCCCATTGTCTGTCTAGAAACTGCACTCACCACTCAGGTCTCCCTCTGTCCTGAGGTCTGGGGGTGCCAGGGTTGGAGCAGATGGCAAGTGGGCTTCAAGACACGGGCCTGACCGCGCTTCCTAGGGCATTCTGAAGACTCGTCTGCATCTAACCCTTCCCGTCGCTACAGCAGTGGAAAAGCACAGTGGAGATGAGGTGGCTCTTGCAGACACACTTGGGGACTAATATAAGACATGAAATTTTTCACTTGAAAAAAAGTAGGGGGATGTGTAGTAAAATGATAGAATTTCCATATCACCAAGTCCCTCCCTCAGAAAAACTGGCTCAGAATACATACTTGTCTATATAGTGAAAAATGTCCATTAAGTAGTATCAGCCTACATGCACTTGGCCACCCGTCCTTGGTGGGAGCCGAACCTGTAGCTGTTGCAGTCGATGACACTGAGTTGGGGAACATGAGCCCCTGCTTTACCGCAGTCTTGAAGGCTCTTTGGAACATGTTGCACAGTAACGGAGCCTTCCTTACAACGTGAACTTTCTTGAGGTTGATAACTATATTAGGCTAGCTAGATGGTTAACAGATTCCTCAAATTCAGGACCTTTTAGAACGAGAATTTCATTTTCACTTAGTCCACCTTAGGCATCTAGGTAGAAGTGGCTCTGCATTGGGCAGGTTTTTCTGGGACCCAGGTCAAGGGAGGCTTTGTCCTCTAACACATGGCGTCAAAGGTGGCTGTGGTCACTTTCATCCCAACCAGTCAAAAGGGGAAAGTGTGTGGCACAGCATTCCTGGGAGGTTTTAAGGGTAGGCTGCCAAAAGACACACATGCACCATTCCTGGTCATATTTCCTGTGAAGGGACTTAGTGACAGGGCCACAGCTGATGGAAAGGGAGGCTGGGATCCATCATCTCGGCCACAATGACTTCATCTTACCTACCTTTGTAAACTGAGTGCCTCCCAAGCATAAACTGAGGAATAGTAGTATGAACACCCACATGGCAGGAGAGAAAATACACCCCACAGACCCAGTGCTGGTGGTCTTCCTTCCGGAATTGACCAGTGTTGGTCTGCAGGTTTCCAGAGTTTTCAAACTGTGACAGTGTGTTCTCATGGGAATTATGCTACTTGGGAGGTTGGACATTAATAAGTGGGATAAGAGTTCCAAATGGAAAGCTGAAGAGATGCTGTGTGAGTTTATGAAAAAGAAATCGGATCTGGGCTGAGGGCTGAGGTGGTAATGTGTAACCAGGAGGGCAGGATTAAGAACTGTGGTGGCAGGGACGGCTTCCGGAGCCCTCGGATGCACACGAGCAACCTTCCAGAACACACGTGGAGAAACAGGACGGGTGCTTATCCCAATGGGAGCTGCTTTGTGGAGCCATCAGGGGTAGATTCTGAGCCGCATTTCCCTCTTGTATGGGGGAGTGATGGAGGCATCGTTTTTTTCTTATTTCTTTTAACTTAAGCTTTGCATGAGCTTTATCTCCCATTTTAACACCTTTGAAATCAGTGTATATTGAAATCATTAATTTACAGACTCCATATATCTCCTTAAGTGTGATTCTAGTTAATGGACATCTGATTGATCACATTAATTGAAGAATTACCCTTGGGAAAGATTTAAGCCATCAGAATTCCTTGTGTTCTGTTGTTACTGGAGGGCTTGCAAGGAGAATTCCTAAAATTATTATAGTTACTAGAGTAGAGACGATAGGGTCTCTACTATCCCAAACCCAGACCACATTTGTGCCCCAAAGGGACGAACTGCTAAGCTCACAAAATTAAAGAGTTGTTATTCTATAGGACTATCCTTCAAACTCTCTGTGCAGTAAATTCTAAGCATGAGTCTCAACCTAATAAATAGCATTAGAAACTAGCAGGTTATGGGTTGACTATTGACTATTTGTTATTTTGACTAATAACAATATTGTGCAGAGTATTCTAAACTTCTCGTATCACCAACTGCTCCATAAATGGGAACCAGCTGTGGGCAAAGCCATGTGGTTAAGCTCTAGCAGCAAGTCATTTGACCCTCCCTCAGAGAGTTTTTTCTACTGTTCGGAAACATAAGCGGTACCTCTTAGCAGAGCAAACTGTCCTTTTAAATGGCATAAAATAGGGCAATTTCTTTTTCTTCCATGCTTTTTGACATATATAAGTAGTGTTGGCATTTAAGACTGCAGGCCTGCTTTCGTGCTGCAGCAGAAAGATAAGGCCCCTCCCCGTGGCTACACACTATCCTAGAGACCAGTTAGAGCAGAGGCCTCAGGAAAGGTTCCCAACTGTTCTTGAGCAAGGAGAGCTGCCTAATTTATAATATGCAAACAAATTTAGGGTAAACCCAAGTCAAGAGAGGTCTTAATGTACATTTTTCCGAAAAGGGTTAAATTATTGACCTTTCAGCAGGCCAATGATATGAATCTCCAAGGAGGACTTCAACACTTCTAAAACTTATTTAACAGCCAATATCGTGGAGCAGAAAATTGGAAATCTCTCCCACTACAAACACTAGAAATGTTGGCGAATGTGCAACTGACATTTTTTTTAAAGGCAGAGCTGACCACAAAAGAAAGCAAAATACACAAGAGCCAACAACCATGAGGCAAGTGAAGATGAGCTGGCCCTGGGGCTGCCCCAGGGGTGGAGGTGGTGGATTGCTGCTGCCCTAGGTCACCAGACAGTGTGGGTTTCACTGGCCGTGTAGGTATAGGACGTAAGGTTTTGACTGTAGCAAGGTGGGGTGTGGGAACTGAATTGCATAAAATTCCCAGCTATGTCCTCAGTGAAACAAAACAAAAATCTCTCACCAGCACGTGGAGACTCTAAGAAAGCTCATCTGTCTTGGCCTGTCTTTGTGCTGAAAAACTAGACTTTCCTGAGAAAACATATGGGCCTGACCTTACACAAAGTGAAGTTTGAATTTACACTAGCTTCACAGTCTTCAAACCAAGAAATACTCATAAAAATGCTAATGGAAAAGGGGGGTCAACTAGCAGAATTCAGCACAGAACTAACTGCTATTGAAAACACCCTCAACCTGGCATAAAGATTCCTATAGATGCAGCCCCACTAAGATGAACTCACAATACAAAATCACAAATTACACACAGAAACTATCCATCAGACAGCAGGATTAGATTTGCCCTGATCCTTGAAATAATATTGTGAGATTTTTAAAAAACTTTAAACTTTCAAAATTTATTAAAAACATAAAGGACTGAACATAAAACACAGTAGAATACGGTACTTCTTTCCTCAGAATGATGTATTTTCAGTTCATCCTTTCTATTGCTGTATAGAATTTCATTGAATGAAATAAATATCACATTGTTTGTTCATTCTCCAGAATGAACTGACAAACATGTAGTATTTCTAGTTTGGGGCTGGCCCATTATCTTCTGATAATGAAACATTCCCAGGACTACATTACTAATATGAATCTTTGGTCGAAATACTGGAGTGTTAGAAATATATTCCTTAGGTTTTAAAAAGATTTGTTCTTTGATCACCAGAAAGCAACATATATCAGTGAGGGGCAGAAACTTGAGAAAACAGACACTAGAGCAGATCCTCCTGAGGTTGCATCCTAGGTGCTGCACTTTCCACTGGTGTCAAGTCAGTCAAGTTACCTAGCTTCTCTGTGGCTCACCTTGACCATGGGAGTGGCAAGGGAAATCCACATCCAATGCTGAAGTTCTTGAAGGCACCAGAGTTTAAAAGATGCATGTGTAATGGATTACCAGGTCACCAGGCCAGGGTCTAGAAGGCTGGAAAGGTTAGGAATGAGCTCCTGGTGTTGGGCTGCTTTTCTCCTGAGGGCAATTGCTGTTCCTAAGAGTAGGGGCAAGAGTGTGTTACAGAGTCTGGGTGATGCTCTTGAAAGCTTTGCCTGAGGAGACAACGACTGGCTAAGGAAGGGAGGGCCTGTGGAAACCCCTTGATTGGGTTGGGTCTCTGAAAGGGCTCACACTAGAAAGAAAGGATGATCCAGAAGTAGACAGGTGTTGGGAACCGCCCTGCCTGGTATCAGAAGCTGTAACCCCCGCCAAGGCTAAGGCTGAGGGAATGACCTTGGACTATAAGCCAGCAAGGAGAGAAAAGCTTATCTCCCTGGCAGGAGCACCGCTTCTGCTCCTTTTGCCTCATCTATAACTGGCCCCCAATGCTTGGTCGGTTAGCCAATGACGGGTAAGATTCCCCAAGGCAGTAACGACCTAAGACAGGCACAATCACTTGAGAGGCCCCCAAGAAAGGACTTTGGGGGCTACAGCAAAAAGGGGTAATGGACCCTTACGCCTCGGCTTTGACATAGCCTGAGTCCTCATTGTCTGGGAGAAAATCTCCTTATCTCTTGGTTGCCTTACTTCCCTTGCTCCACCTAAGCCTGAAACAATGACAGGGTGGTGCACCTCTGTGCTGAAAAGGGTGGGTTCCTGGGTGATCAGGCCTAAGAAAGAATATGCAAAATCCTGTGAAACCTGCTTTGTTTAGAATGCTCTCAGTTGAATGATAAGGGTCCAAGGAAGAAGTAAGTTTGTTCCTCAAAGTTTTACAGCTCTTTGACCCTGACTCAAAATAGGCCCTCAGACTTCCTTGTTATCTATTGTTGGATCCTTACTTCCCGGCAATGAGTACTGAGCTTTACCTGAATTCTTATGCAAACAAACCCAATAAAAAGCTGCCCCGGCGGGGGAACGGTGCACTCCCCACTAGAGAGAGTGGCCATTCCGTTCTTACTTCCCCACAGGACCTGGCTGTCTCTGTGTATGTTTTTCTCACGTGTTGATGAACCATCTGCAGCATTCTGTGGTCACTGCTGGTCGGTGGCCATGTCAGACAGGGCCCCACAGCTCAGCCTTGACTATTC